CTCTAGACGTTATATGCGCCAAACGTTTAGGTTTGTTCTGGACATTGGTTAAAATGCGCTCAAATTAGACCTTGTTAATGTCGGCTGCTAGAATTTTTGCACCCCGTATTCGATGAGGTATATAATAATCTACATTTCATGGGAGTTTAAGCACATTTAAATCAAATAGGAAATTAGCAACGAATGTATTTACCCTTACCCCCTTCTATAAACTCTGGACGTTATATGCGCAAAACGTTTAGGTTTGTTCTGAACATTGGTTGATATGCGCTCAAATAAGACCTTGTTAATGTCGGCTGCTAGAATTTTTGCACCCCGTATTCAATGAGGTATATAATAATCTACATTTCATGGGAGTTTAAGCACATTTAAATTAAATAGGAAATTAGCAACGAATGTATTTACCCCCACCCCCTTCTATATACTCTGGACGTTATATGCACCAAAAGTTTAAGTATGTTCTGGACATTGGTTGATATGCGCTCAAAAAATACCTTTTTAATGTCGGCTGCTAGAATTTTTGCACCCCGTATTCGATGAGGTATATAATAATCTACATTTCATGTGAGTTTCAGCACATTTAAAGCAAATGGGAAATCAGCAACGAATGTATAAACCCCCATCCCCTTCTTTATACTCTAGACGTTATATGCGCCAAACGTTTAGGTTTGTTCTGGACATTGGTTAAAATGCGCTCAAATTAGACCTTTTTATTGTCGGCTGCTAGAAATTTTGCACCCTGTATTGGGTCAGGTATATAATAATCTACCTTTCATGTGATTTTCAGCAAATTTAAGGCAAATGGGAAATAGCGGCGACTGTATTAAAGCCCGAAACCCCCTTCACCGATATACTCAACATGTTATGCGCTATACGTTTAGGTTTGTTCTGCCACATTGGTTGATATGCGCTCAAATAAGACCTTTTTAATGTCGGCTGCTAGAAATTTTGCACCCCGTATTCGATGAGGTATATAATAATCTACATTTCATGTGAGTTTCAGGACATTTAGAGCAAATGGGAAATCAGCAACGAATGAATTAACCCCTATCCCCTTTTATATACTCTAGACGTTATATGCGCAAAACGTTTAGGTTTGTTCTGAACATTGGTTGATATGCGCTCAAATAAGACCTTGTTAATGTCGGCTGCTAGAATTTTTGCACCCCGTATTCGATGAGGTATATAATAATCTACATTTCATGTGATTTTCAGCAAAATTAAGGTAAATGGGAAATATCGGCGACTGTATTAAAGCCCGAAACCCCCTTCACCGATATACTCAACATGTTATGCGCTATACATTTAGGTTTGTTTTGCCACATTGGTTGATATGCGCTCAATTAAGACCTTTCTAATGTCGGCTGCTAGAAATTTTGCACCCCGTATTCGATGAGGTATATAATAATCTACATTTCATGTGAGTTTCAGCACATTTAAAGCAACTGGGAAATCAGCAACAAATGTATAAACCCCACCCCCTTCTTTATACTCTAGACGTTATATGCGCCAAACGTTTAGGTTTGTTCTGAACATTGGTTGATATGCGCTCAAATAAGACCTTGTTAATGTCGGCTGCTAGAATTTTTGCACCCCGTATTCGATGAGGTATATAATATTCTACATTTCATGTGAGTTTCAGCACATTTAAAGCAAATGGGATATCAGCAACGAATGTATAATTAACCCCAACCCCTTTTATATACTCTAGACGTTATATGCGCCAAACGTTTAGGTTTCTTCTGGACATTTGTTGATATGCCTTCAAATAAGACCTTTTTATTGTCAGCTGCTAGAATTTTTGCACCCCGTATTGGGTGAGGTATATAATAATCTACATTTCATGTGATTTTCAGCAAAATTAAGGCAAATGGGAAATATCGGCGACTGTATTAAAGCCCGAAACCCCCTTCACCGATATACTCTACATGTTATGCGCTATACGTTAAGGTTTGTTCTGCCACATTGGTTGATATGCGCTCAAATAAGACCTTGTAAAAGTCGGCTGCTAGAATTTATGCACCCCGCATTTGATGAGGTATATAATAATCTAGATTTCATGTGAGTTTAAGCACATTTAATGCAAATCGAAAATTAGCAACGATTATATAAACCCCCACCCCCTTCTTTATACTCTAGACGTTATATGCGCCAAACATTTAGGTTTGTTCTGGACATTGGTTAAAATGCGCTCAAATTAGACCTTTTTATTGTCGGTTGCTAGAAATTTTGCACCCCGTATTGGGTCAGGTATATAATAATCTACATTTCATGTGATTTTCAGCAATTTTAAGGCAAATGGGAATTAGCGGCGACTGTATTAAAGCCCGAAACCCCCTTCACCGATATACTCTACATGTTATGCGCTATACGTTAAGGTTTGTTCTGCCACATTGGTTGATTTGCGCTCAAATAAGACCTTTTTAAAGTCGGCTGCTAGAATTTTTGCACCCCGCATTTGATGAGGTATATAATAATCTACATTTCATGAGAGTTTAAGCACATTTAAAGCAAATGGGAAATCAGCAACGAATGTATAAACCCCCACCCCCTTCTTTATACTCTAGACGTTATATGCGCCAAACGTTTACACTGCAAAAAATATGGGGTAAATTTGTTGTTGGTCAAATATCTTTACAACATAATTGGGCTTAAGTTGACCAATAATTTGATGATATATTGTATTTGTTAACGTTTCCAACTGTTGGGGTTTTGAATACCGTGGTGTGGTAATTTTTCCTATTTAATTGGGCAAAGCACAAGTGCTTATCCAACTATTTAGCAAATCGTGTCTACAAGATATCGCTCCGGCCATGCCATTTTAATTGCACGAGCATAATACATGCATGCTCGCAGCGCATACCGGCACCGTATGCGCGTACCGTGCATGCATGCGAGACTAGACTACCATCTGCATCTAGATCAAGAGTAAACAACCAGCTAGGAACAAGAAAAGTCATCTATGGACCAGCTTCTTATCAGTTGGGGCCTAAGAGGGCTGCAAGATATCTTCAAAGGTACCTATCTAATAATCAATCTTGTATATAAAAAGGTTGTTTAAACGAATTTGAATTTGAAGTCTCGAGAATTTGATTGAGACAGTTTAACCTATTATTAAACCGCAGTGTGTTGACTGCATGGCTGTGCCTGGCTCAGTTTCATAAGGCCAGAGTAGACCTAGATCTAAATTAGAAATCGCAAGTTGTAAGATTTGCCATCGAGGCTTTGAGTTACGATTATAATGACCTATTGATTGTATGATTGATATCAATCGTAGCTCAATGATTAATGGTAAATCGTGTACTTTAATAGGTGTAGAATCTAGCCTGTAGAAAAGTTGTGTGAAACGAGGCCCTGGGCCTGGCTGGCTATATAGCTGAGGCTGCAGCCTTTGCACCCCAGGCCAGCCGGCCAGGCCTTGTAATTGCCTTGCAAGGCTTGGCAGCTATTGCCGTTTTTAAAGTATGGTTAGTGGATTGTAAATGTATATATATCATTGGGGAATGTATAAACTTTGACTGATATTACTAGATCTGTCTCTTCCTCGGGGGCTTCTCATTTTACGGTAGCCTATTGACATTCGTCGGTCAGCTCCCCTTGACCTTGTTAGAGACAGAATCACAGATGTCTTTCGATCCACACGCCAGTCAAGCGAGTCAAGCATAGAGTGTGAGTAAGTTAATTCGCACTGAAGATTGCCTCAATATTGCCTTACCAATTTTTAGGAAAGGCAATTTCTCTCCCCACCGCTGTTCAAAGCATCAACATATGATATCTGATATATTGCACTTTAAAATAATCATTACATACACATAACAGCAGTGGGGGATCCAGGATTTCATTAGGGGGGGGGGGGTGGGGGCAGATCGCTGATTCTCAGATTTTGGTAGACCCCGAATTGGACTGAAACATTGGGGTTAAAATCGGGCCGCTCGAAAGTGCTCTCAGTGGGGGGGGGGGGGGGGGGCATGAATTTTTTTTTTTTGCCCTTTGACCGTCAAAAAAACTACACACAATATTTGTTATGGTCATAATACGGCCGGCTGAAAGTGCTCTCAGTGGGGGGGGGGGGGGGTGGTATTATAAGCATTAAAAAAAATTTTTCAAGCCAACAAACACATAAAAAACATGCATTCTCCAAAACGATTTTTTTTGGGGGGGGGGGGCCGGGCCCATCCGCCCCCCCCCCCCCTGAATCCGCGCCTGAACAGCTAGAATTATTAAAGTCAACATTCATTTTTAGTAGACCTGTCTAATAAATGAAATATTACCTAAATCACATCGTCTTGCTTTCTTTCACAGAAAATGGGATAGACCTTGAAGCAGCTGCCCTCCTGTCAGATGAAATGATTGAAGTGCTGATCCCAAAGCTTGGAGCAAGATTAAAATTCAAGAATCACTGGAGTCAATATGTGAGTTCAGTTGCCTCTTAACTTTTCATATTCGCTAACATGATTTGCTTCAGATGCTTGTGTGACGTAGGAGGGGAGGTGGATGAGTTATTCAAACATTTGAAGTATATACATGGACTAACTTCTGGAAAGTCAGTGTTTGTGATATGTAGTCAAAATGGATGTCCTGAAACATTTACATACATTTCATCATATAAACGACATATTTTGTCAAAGCACTGCTCAGACTTGAAAGGATCTCAGTCAGTTGAAAATGAAACAGTTTATCAAGACATTTTTGAAGATGAGTCTGCAGATGATGCTGAAACATGCACTACAAATCAGAAAGAAACAGGGAACATGTTGGATACACTGAAAGAGACTTTCTTTCTCTTTCTTACTAGCTTGAAGGCATCTGCTGTGCCTCATACATACATAGACAAACTTGTAAGAGAGATTGAAGAACTGATGAATAATGTTCTGACCAATTTGTTTAAACAAGTCCTGAATGACTTGGAAACAGTGGATGTTGAAAGCTTGAACATTTGTTTCTTTCAAAAATACTTTCATAAAGTACAGAACATTTTCAGTCAATTTCGAACACGCTATATGCAGGACCAGTACCTTGTAGATAGAGATGTTCTGATACCCCCAGAAGAAAGAACCTTAGGGAAATCTTTTGCCACAAGAGATCATTCAGGACATGCACAACAGCAACTAGTGACAGAAACATTTCAGTATGTTCCAATTTGCAAGTTACTGAAAAAATACCTTGAACAGCCTGGTGTGATGAAAGCGATTCTAAGTCAGCATAATTCGCAGGATGGATGTATTTTGAAGACCTATCGCGATGGATTTCATTTTCAGACAAAGCATGTCAGTTGTGAAGATGTCCCCACAATCCCTTTACTCCTCTATGCTGATGACTATGAGACAGGAAACCCCTTGGGATCCAGGAAAGGCGAACATAAACTGGTTGCATTTTACATCAGTGTCTTAAGCTTACCAATAAAATATCAGGCTTCACTAAATAACATTCTGCTTGCTGCATGTGCCAAGAGGAAAGTTGTTAACAAATATGGTATAGACAGTGTTTTGTCAGCAATAGTGGACGATCTCCAGGTGCTTGAAAAGGAAGGTCTTGAAATTTCAAGCACTGACTTCAAAGGGATTGTAAAACCTGTTTTATTTCAGGTTATTGGTGACAATCTGGGTCTCCATGAATTGCTTGGGTTTGTGGGAAGTTTCAGTGCTAATTATCCTTGTCGCTTTTGTAAGGCCCCAAAGGAAATCATCCGTAGACAGCTCACCCCCGACTCGGCACTTCTACGGAGCAAAGAGACCTTTCATGAGGATCTTGCCCTTGATGATACATCAAGAACTGGAATGAAACGTTCATCAGAACTGAATAATCTAGAGCAATTTCATGTCAGTGAAAACTATGCACCAGATATTACTCACGACTTCTTGGAAGGAATCATGCCATTAGAAGTCAAACTGGTCTTGAATTCACTCATTGACAAAGGACAGGTTACACTTCAACAGGTGAATGACCGCATATCTTCCTTTAACTATGGGTTTGTAGACAAAAAAAACAAACCAAGTCCTATCCCGCAATCGGCGCTGAAGAATCCTCGTGGAGCTAGCGGTCAAAAAGCTGCCCAGATGCGATGCCTGTGCCTTTATCTTCCCATCATGCTTGGAGATTTGATTGATGAGTCGTCAGATGAATGGGAAGTTCTACTATTGGCTGTAGATATTTACAAGATTGTAGTAGCCCCATACATCACCAGATCAGCTACTTTTTTCTTGAAGGCCCTCATTAAGGACCACCATCAACTGTTCCTTCAAGTGTTTGATGGATCTCTTATTCCAAAACATCATTTTGTTGTCCACTATCCTCAGTTGATTAGGTTACTTGGCCCACTTGAACAATACTCAACAATTAGGAAAGAAGCGAAACACAAACCTTTTAAGAGTTGGGCGCGTGCTTGCAATAACTACAAAAATGTGGCCAAGACTGTATCAAGGAGACATCAAGAACAACAAAGCTATGTGTTTCTCCAAGGAAAGACCCTTTCTTGTGAGATGGACATAAAGAATCAGTTTCCAGCCCAGATATCAACATTTGAAGAAGCACAACATATTTGTGCTACACTTGATTGTTCACAAGATGAATTCATCCATGTAGCAGATAAACTGACTGTTCACAGCTATGAGTTTAAGCTGGGGTGTTTGGTGTTGACAGAATGGGATGAAAACGGACCCGTGTGTGCTCAACTAAAGAATATCATCATACACAAGGCAGTTGCCCTGTTTGTCTTGCTTGTGTACGAAACAGAATACTACAACAGACATCTACAGGCATATGCTGTGTCAGAATGTGTGGGTCGAATCAAAATCATGGAACCATTAGATCTTCTAGTGCCTCGTCCTTTGCATATGGTTCGATCACTTGATGTTAATGACAAGTTCAATTATATCATTACACCATTCCAAATTGTATAAATATGAACCCTAGGAATTTCCATTAATCACAGGTTCAAGAGCAGCAAGCACAGGACCTGGTGTCATTACCAGCTAATTTACAGCTACCAGTAACCCAAGTCATGTACGAGATGAACTTACCAACAGCATCACCATCATCATCGTCATCATCGTTATCCTTCACCAACTACTCAGCAGCTACTCAAAACCACCTAAATCTGGGGGATTATGCTATCTGCAGCACTGATGAGGCAATGTCAATCCCATCTACATCATCTTCACCATTGCTCTGTCAATTGGAGTCAGAACCACCATCAGATTCCTGTCCATCGGAGCCAGATCCACCCGTTCCTGGCCCATCTACTTCAGCTAAGTCTGCTAAGCTAAGTCAAAGGTCATCAGCAGAAGGACCAAATACACCCCCACCACTTAAGAGACAGAAGGCTTGTTTGTTTGTGAGTAACAAAATCAAATAGGGGCATTGATCTTTCTGTCATTGAGACTAATTCCTTATGAAGAGAAGGAGATTTAGATCTAAAAAGCTGTACTTAGGAAAATAAGAAGAGAAATTAAATTTAATTCCATTTTTTTTTCTAGTAACTGCTGAATGAATGATTATTCAGATTTGAGACATATGTAAACAACTATAATGAATGTTTAATACGTTTTTATGCATCATGCATTAAGGGAACAAATTGTAATGTGTGTTAATATGTGGCCGGAATTAAGGCATGAAATTGCCACTGTTAAAAAACAAGTTTGTTATTCAAGTGCTGTAAAATAAATAAAAACTTGTAAACGTGAAAAGAGCAAAAGAGAGAGAGAAACATATACATATATACAAATAAATTGCAGGACTTCCTTGAAAAGCAGGCCTACTTGGGTCAGACGGGACTAGTCTGCTTACAAAAAAAACTTTAATGAATAAATAAATAAATAAATGAATAAATAAATAAATTATAACAACATTCACTGTGTGGGGATTCAAAAGTAACGATAGTAAGATATTTCAATTTGGCTACTTTTTTTCTTCTGTGTTAAGGATACTGAAATGATACTAAATCAGTCCCCCGATGGAGTAGCAACAATTGAAGAAATTAAGAGGCTTGGATTCGTGGCTAAAAGGACAAGGCATGTCCTCGTGTCAAGACTGGTTGAGTACCTGATCATGAGCTATGGAGAGCGGTAAGTATATGACTATATTTTGCATTTGTATAGTTGTAGGGTATTTCCCCTACTTTATCATACCGTAAATTTCTAAATAAATCAACCAGACTTATCAGTCAAACAATAAAATTCTGGATAAACATGCCTTACATCCACAAGATAGCTTTGGTAACAATTTTAAAACTTAAATTGTCTTGATCTTCAGAAAATGCAGCACATCATCAGAAAACACTAATAAAGGGACCAGCAATTGTTCTGAAAGACATATTTGCATCTAATGATGTCAAGTGACAAAATATCTCTGTGTACATTTCCTATGGAAGGGTATTTTAGGGGTACTCCAAACATTTTTATATTTGGGATATTTCTTGAAAATTAAAGAAGTACTAGTTAGGAGCAGACAATGAACAAGGCATTCATTGTTCATACAGATCAATAAAATAATGAATCAACAAAACAAAATTGTTCATCATACGTGTACCATATATGTGGCTGTAATTATTTGCAAGTGTGTTCTTACAGTAATCATCTTCATAGTGTAGCCCATATTTTTATTCGCTTTAATCATGTTAATTCTGATTTATTGGTGATTCAGTTCAGTGAAGAAAAAAAAAATGTTTTATTTTATTTTCTCAAATATTTCACACTTCATAGAAATGGAAAGATGTCATAGATAGAGTCTTAAAAATAATGTAATGGTGTCTTTGTCTTTCTTTTAGGCCAGAGTCATTTGTGAAGGCAGCACTGGCCCAGAGCATAATAACTACATTTCCCAGCCTTAGGGACCCAGAAGGAAATACAGGTTTTGTAAGTGTTGATAGAAAGACCACTTTTATTTTCTTCAAGTTTCTACTCTACAGATATTTTCATGTGGGCTCTGTGAACAAATGCTCAAAATACCATTTGTGGTGCCTCTTGAAGCCATGTGTAGCGTACTAACAGAATCATACAGAAAAGTCTTTCTGATTTTGTCAAAATTGAACATTACTGAAGAATAATTTGTTATTATAATGGCATATCCCATGAAAGATTAAAATACAAATTCTGAATTAAATGCTAAAGGAAAGCTCCTATTCTGATAACTATACTTTTGTCATTATATCAGCAGATTTTTTAGGGGTTAGCCAATATTTTACAAAACATTATTTCTGCAACTAGGCTTTGAGACATATTTTTATACAGTTAATTATAAAACAAGGTGGCCCAAAAAGAATGAAACAACTTTGATAGTTGATTTCAAGGACATCATCAATAAAATGGAATTCAAGTTTGTTTCATTATGTGGAAAATAATTTTTCCAACAAAATGATACCATAATCATTCATTTTGGGTGTCTCGATCCTTTTACTTTTTTAGTGAGACAATGCTTTCTCTACCCTGTCGGTCTTTGGAACGCAGAGAAATTCTAACCTTGTCATGTAGTACTGCACGAAAATGCCCTTGCTTTGAAAACAGACGATTTGAACAAAATGTGACATTACACAACAGCTGAATCTAAGGGACACCATTGAGCAAAAAATTCTTGCCATAAGAAGTATTTTTAGGGTTAAAAAAGTAGCAAATATGGAAAGTGACATTGACTTGCTAAACTAGGATTAGTATTCAAATGCCTCCCCTCAATCAATGGTCTTTTTCATTTTATTGATGATGTCCTTTAAAGTCAATGATCAAAATTTGTTGCACTTTTTTAGGGCACCATGCATGTTTATGATAATTGGTATATGAATCCATTATGATATTTAAAACAGGAGGCCTTTTACACAAGAGGGGTGAGTGGACATCCTGCAACAGGGTATTTGGAAGAACACCTTCGCTATGTCCGCAAGAAAACTAAACAGTCAAAGGCCAGGAGTTCTTCATCAACTGGTAAGTTATGGATAATGTAGCAGATATCCCATAACTTTAAAAAGTGTATAAATATCTATATAGGATTATTAATATATTATTAGTGCCAGTGGTAATGAGCATATTGTACAGTGTAGACCTGTCTTCCTCTAAGTAATGGTGTCAAGGCAGGGGAGGGGGGGGGGGGTCACCAGACAACAGCCAATAGGGCCATAAATTTACACAGCTCAGCAAAAACCGCGGTTTTCCTAAAAAAAACTTGAATTTAAAAGTCGCGGTTTTAACAAATATAAATGGGCCATATCAATTATCCATATTTGTCATTTATTTCTTTAATTTAATGTATAGTCACAGCTGCAGCTGCCTGCAGTCAACAAGAGTGTAGCCTGCCTACTGAGGAAGATGCACTGATGGTGTCCCTGATGAAGGACAACAAAGTCCCGGATGAACAAAAATCCAGATTCATGGCTGAAACATTCGACTTCAGAAGAAAGTGGATACAAAACCAAGAAAGATCTGTGAGGGAGATTTTGACAGAATTCCCGTGTCTTCTGGAGGAGGGAATGGTAAAAGCACACAGGGAGAGCCTGACTTATACCGTAATTAAATGCCAAAATCCATGTACATTCCCTTTTCTATTAATATGTGTTCTTGGTTGTGAATGGGACTATATAATGATAATCATCTGAAGATATATACAGTGCGTCCCAGAAAAAGCGGAACCCGGATGGTCAGTAAATTTTTGAGGTGAAAACAAACAATTCATGAAAAATAAAGTGCGTCATTTTAAAGTTCATTTTGTCTTCTTTCTTTTGACACTCAATACAATACGAAAGAGCAACGCATGGATGACCAAGACGAGTTTGAAATTTTAATGTAAAAATCAAATTGCGCAGATCAGAGCACAGAGAACCACACTAGATCCTTGCAGCAAGTGATTCGCGATCATCGAGAGATTTGATGAAAGAAACCTAACAAAGAACATAAAAGAAATGCTAATGAAGCATTCCTTTCTTCGGCAAGGCCATTGCATCTTGTCAACTTATTCTGCGCAATTTGATTTTAGCAATTAAATTTCAAATACTTTTTGCTCATCTATGTGTGGCTCTTTCATATTGTATTTGGTGTCAAAAGAAAGAAGAAAAACTGAACTTTAAAATGATGCACTTTATAATTCATGAATTGTTTGTTTTCACCTAGAAAAATGACTGACTGTCTAAGTTCCGCTTTTTGTGGGACGCACTGTATATACATGTATATCCATATGTACATACAGGAATGTTCTTTTTTTTTTCTAGGGGCTGGGGTCTCTTGCCTGGAAAGTGTTTTGTTATTTTTTTTACCTGAACCTACAATGTACACTGTTTCCCCCTAGATATTGGGACTTCTAGAAAATGTAAGGGGGTGGTGGGGATCGATATCACTCTGTGCCCTTGTGTGCAAATGACTAAACGAATTTTGTTTCTTCGATTATTTTTATTTCAATAGATTGAGCAAGACTTCCAACTGCTGCATAGTGAGAGTGCAGAAAAATTGAAAGAGAAGTGGACTACGATGTCGGGCCACCTCATCGCGTATTGCAAGGAGATGTTCCCACTTTGGCCACAAGTTCTTAATCTCCCAGGCAACATGGACACACAGGCTCTCTCCTCGGGTACAATCATTATTTTGTTTTTGTTCTTGGATTAGGACCTGGGGGTGTTTCATGAAACTTGTCAGCACTGACAATTTGTCATTTATTAAAAAGTACAGTGACAATCTTGATTTTGTTTGGCTGTGAACCACTGGCACTGACTGTTGTCATGGTCATAGTCAGTGAATGACAAATTTGTCAGTACTGACATGTTTCATGAAACATGCCCCCAGGTTAATTGCTACTTTTTTTTATTTTTGAAATGCTTGTCAAGAAAGTATTGGAAAGGAAAGTTTAGAAGTGCAATACAGTAATAACAATAACATTATTTTGTTTTATGATCTACATTTCTGTACACTTGGACGATCTCTTCAAGTATAGATGTTAAGATAAAAGTTATTTGTGAAATATAATATATTTATACAAATTAAATATTGTATGTAATTGTTAGA